ATTATATAATATTATTATTCATGTAGGCCTATTTATATAGGGTAGTGGCTTGGTAAAATAACACACACTGAATTACACTCAAGTCTTTCACCTTTTGATTATTAAAGCCAGGCTGTGGAGGAAACATTTTTTTTAAATGTACAAATATATACTCCAAGACATACAATAAGTGAAGAAAAACCCTTCAAATATTTGTACAACAAATTTTTTTTAAATCCTGTGGATCCTGGCAATAAAACTGTATTAAGATATTCCTTGTTAGTTACCTAGTTAAAACTGTGCTGCTTTTTGCAATATCCTTGCTGTCATTACTTTCTGTGTTATAATTGAATGAATTTTCAAGTTTTTCCCACATATTACAGTACAGTACATTATATACTTAATTATATTTATATATAATAAATTTACCAATTTGTTTAACATTGATTATGATCAAACATACCGAATAAATGCAAGTGTCTAAAAAGGGTGAGAGAGTCCCTGTGATTACTCTAGTAGAGTGAAATAGAATCACTACGAATTTCACTAATTTTCACTATCTTGCTGATCCAGTGTATGTGACATTATTATCTGAAACCTTGTACTTGTCTTGATGAAAAATACTGAATTTGCCCATTTACAGTGTTATTGCATTAGCTTTGTATTACTTAAACCTTATAGCATAAGATTTTATAAGTTATTGTTAACGAGCATAAACCTATGTACAAATATTTACTATGTACAGTATACCAAAGCTATATTTATCGTTTTTGACAGGATGTGGTTGAGACCATATTATATGCCTTTACTAAATTGTGGTTAACCTTGCAGCTTTGATAGGTTATTGTAGGTGCGTTAGTTGCTATGTACTTCCCTTCATATATTTCCATTCTAATATAAAACAAAGAGATATACCAAACAAACCTCGAATAGAAGCTCGAGAAGGAGCCAATCTTGAAAAGAAGCTGCCCTCTTCAGTTTGCAAAAGTAATCTCGAAAAGAAGCCCATTGGGCTTCTCTCGAGAAGGTACTTACATTAAATCTTGCGTTATATTTGATGATTATGATAGCGTGTCAGTATCAATAGTATCTTATTGTACTACAGTAGCATGGTTAAAATAAATAATTTCGAATTCCATAGTTAAGAATTGTCGTATAGTAGCAATTCCCAAGAAGCCCCTCTTTTTTTTTGGTTTGCAAATATAATCTCGAAAAAAAGCCCATCTCGAAAAGAAGCCCATCAAACCGTCTTAAAAAGAGAAGCCCATGACTTCTATTAGAGGTTTTACGGTATGTTACTTGCTTTGGAGGTACTAAGAATAGTATAGTGTATACAGATATAATTGGCTATGCACTTGTAATAATATTCTATGCTATGCTATGTATACATCATGTTGCTAACTATGGATAAATAGTAATAGCAATTTATTGAATAACTTAACCTAACATATCTTGTTTGGTTTTTTGGCAATAATTAATAAATTGTACGGTATGAATTTTTATTTTGATTACTTTATGACAGAAATAATAGGCATGCTGTATGCTTCAATTATTATTATTATATGTATAATACTGTAATAGACGAGCGATAGCACACCATTTCTTTCAACTTTAATTAAACAAGCACTATTTGTATTGTTTTTCTATGACTTATGCCTATCACATAATTATTGTGTTTATCTACTTACTACCAATT